GTCCATCATATTTACCCTTTTATCTTAACTTACAAAGAGTATAATAGTAAAATAATATAATTTTCTCTTTCTTTCTTTTCATTTTTTTAACTCTACCAAGCAACAGATGGAAAGAAAATTATTATTTACATCCATTTTCCCCTCATTCTTACCAAGCACCAATGCAGAGGAAACATGTGTTTTCCTTCTTTCCACTTTTGTCCCCTAAATTTCCATCTTTTCATTTTCTATCCACCCTACCATGCAAAGCCTGTTTGGGAAAATTGAATTCTGGTGTTATACTTGTAGATCATGTTGTGAGATGCTTTTTTGAGAGATAGTAGGCCTATGATTTGATGAATGTTTCTAGTGTTGATCCTGAAGATATTTAGGGGAATATATCTCTCTTCTGGACAGGTAAATGCAGGGTTGGAGTGCGGTATGGGAATGGACGACTACGACGAATGGCAGGAAGGAGATATTGTTGAAGCCTTCAACACGGTTCAAAAGAAGCGGACCCTTGAAGAGGCATCTGCTTCGATGGCAGCTGCACTGGAAGGAGTAGGAATTCAGTTGTAGTTGTAGAAGTGCACAGGGCTACAAAATTGGCTTATTGGCTTTTCTTCATGGAATCAATATTTTTTATAACACAGGCATATACCACAATGCAGTGTCTCTGCTGCTGCATTGGGCATCGCTTAACGTGCATCATATAAGAGTTTTCCCCATACTGCAATCTATTTTCAAGTGCGGCATGTTGAGGTTCTGGGCTTGCAGATTTTGCCTTTGTTGTAAACCTTTTTTTTGCTGTGTATATTAACATCTGGCTCCAGCATGCTTTTGTAAAGACTGGACAGTTACATTCCACAAGATTCAATGTAGAAAATACCTTGTAACATTTACCCAAAGAGGGGAAAGGAATATAGTTGCAAATGTGCTGGGAGAATGGCATGCATTTCTCACGCTGTAAGTAAGTCTGTGTATGTGAAATTTGTTGAGTCTGAACTTTGGTTTTTAGGTCTAAAAGGAAAGATTTCGCTTTGTTTGGTAACCAGGAAAATGGAATGTGCAGAGGCACAGCACTCAATCTTTCTCTCAAGCTGTTTGAGTTGTGTGATGTATCTCTTTTTCCCTGTGCAACGGGTTATATATAATTTCGAAATAATATAATATTATTTTATTCTAAATGGTTAAAATTATTCTAAAATTAGCATATCAATGGTAATACCATCAACTTAACGGAAGTGGGTTTCTTATTTTTAAGGCACACCAGCCTGGGAAGAAAGAGCCATTGCTAACTGGGGAGCATTGCTGAAACCTGGGAGGAAGCTGTTAACTTTAGTCAAAATTGTAGGAAATGGTTGCTGCAAAAAAAAAAAAAAACTACAGCTCGAGACATCCTTTGATGTTTTAAGCTTCATTGTAGGTACCCTTAATCGAGACATCCTCCCAATTAGATGTTACAATTTTAAACATGATATAATAAGATATGAAGTTAAATAGATGTGTTTAATGCGACAAATATGTTTAATTAATCGTATTTAACTGTGTATAAATGACATTTTTATTTGTCTGTTTAAATTAATAGGAAAAAATTATTTTAATTTTATTTAAATATTTTTAAATAATTATTTTAAATATTTTTAAATAATTATTTTAAATTTTTTTTTAAATTTGATAAAGATAATAAAGTTATATTGCTTGAACCCTAAGATAAGGTGAGGTCAAAATATAATGTAATGCGATTATAGTCAACTATTTTTATTTATTTATTTAAATTAAATTTTATTTTTATTTTATTTTAAGTTTTGTTTCAATCTTGAAATTTTGATCTAAAGGTCCAAATGGTGTTCATACGTGCTTGGGTCCTTTTCCAATATTTGTGGGCGGTAAGCCAAAAGCCTATTCATTGTCAAGACTTTCCTAAGCCCGAAAACAAATTTAACAAATGGTTTAGCACATAAACAGATCAAACGGAATGTTAAACCAGATTAAATAAAATAAACAAGATTAAAGCAAAATTAATCCAGACAAGAAGGCCAGCTGATGAAAACTTTGCAAAGAAAAGAAAAGAAAAAAAACCAGAGATCTCTCTTTCAGGAGCCGCAATATTCAGCATCCTTCTCAAAAAACCCTAGCCATCTCTAACAAATTCTAAAACCTAAGCCCTAGACCTACCAGCCGATTCCACTACAAGAAAATACCAAAGAACTCCAGTAAAATACAAAAAAAATACAGCAGAAAAAGAGGCAGGGGCGGTTTTAATAGGAGAGGTTTGGGTTTTGAGTTTTAAAATAGTTTTTCCCACATAAAAATGTATGGGTTAGGAAAATAGGTATAAGAAAATATAATATAGAAATAAGATAGGTATATAGCAAAGTAGAAAAAATAAAATATATGTAGGTTGAAAGTTTATTTGAAAAATAATAAAAGTTATGTACAACAAGTAAATATAAAAACTATAAATTAGAATGTAAAAGGAATAGCATAATAATATAGTAATGAATAATGGTATCATAAATTAGCCAAACAAAAGATAAAATGTTATTAGCTTAAAGGGTAGAAAATTAGAGCATTTATGCTTAGAGAAATAAGACTATGTATATCCTAAAATTTTGATACATAAAAAATGGTATATTATTATTTGGAATGGACCAAAAATAGAATTTGGCATGGGACACTAAATGTTGCAATCTCAGGTTATCTTTCCTGGGTAAAGGACTTAATTAAAGCCCTGCCCGAAGGATGGGAAGGTTTTAATTGTATGTCCTAAGATTTCTCAATTCAAATAATTAATACTAAATAAATGTTTAGAAAATAATATAAATATATAATTAAATTAAATATAATAACCATGAAACGTAAATCTAATTTAAAGACAATAGCTAAATAAAAAAGGAAATCATCGAGTCCATATTGCGTTATCATTACATCTTTTGATTGTCATTCCATATACCTGGACTTTATATTTTGTACATGAATCAAGGTTTCAATTATGAGACCTTTCCATAAAGTTTGTACAGATAAATTTTTATTAGAAAGATGGGAGGATCTGGGAAACGTTTTCAACAAAAGACTCTAATACATATTTAATAATTTGAAATTTGAATCCTACCATGTGACACATATTTTGTTTACAATTGTCAATCCCGATGATGGGATTTTCTCAAGAAACTTAAAAGGATAAGCTTCTCAAGAAACTCTCTAGATGAGAAAGTGTAATTGAGTTTTATTAGAATGATGGGAGGATTTGAGAAACGCTTTTGATAAAAAGTTGTCGATTGTAATGAATAGTTAAGAATTTATATTTTTTGTATGTGATGGATGATCTCAATGATGAGATTTCTTCGAGAAGCTTGTAAGGATAAATTTTCTAGGAGAATTCGCTAGATGAGATGACATATCTAGATTTTACTAGAACAATGAGAGGATCTAGGAAATGGCCTCGATAAAAAGTTGTCAATTGTAATAATTAATTACGAATTTACATTTCATTGACACACGTAAATTTGAAATTTGTAGCGTTCATCATTCTTGCATTTCATACTCATGGTGCATACTCTTTTCTTCAAAATAAAGTTCGAATGATAATCTTGACGGAGATATTTTTTTTCAAGAAGTTCAAAATGATGAGTTTCTCAAAAAATTCTCTAGGTGAGAAGATATTCCTGTATCTTACTAGAAAGATGGGAGGACTCAAGAAATATAATTAATAAAAAGATTATTATTCATAGTCAAATTAAATAAAAATAGAAATAAAAAACAAAAAGAATAATGATTAATTAAATATACATAAGAATAAAATAAAAGTTAAGGTTAAAATAGGATAACATATGATTAAATAGTACTATTTATGGTACAAGCATTACGGGGTGTTAATCCTTCTCCGTGTGTAACTGTACTGCAGGGTGCTAATCCTTCTCCATGCATACCTATACTCTCAAACTCAACTTTTTAAACTCGTAGACTAGGATGTTGTTTTCTAGATAGACTTAAAATCAATTTAAGACCTTGTCAAATAGAATAAATTTAATAAGAGGCCAATCGCACTTTATAAAAAAGATTGGTGATGACTCCTACACATTTCTCATTGAGGTGGATGGGTTCCCTAAACCTACACGTAGCGACAGTGATTGTAGTTCAAAATTAATGTAATTAGATTCCATTGCACTTTGCAATATTATTAAAAATATGTTTTGTAACACCCCGTACCCTCATTTAGAAGTTGATAAGACTCTATTAATAAGAAGAAAGGTTATTTGACGTAAGTCTAAGTGTCAGAGAACGGTGATAAGCAAAAAGAATATTTTTAAATAAAATAAAATTTTTATGAATAAAATATTATTAAAATATTAATATTTTATTTATTAGTGAGATTAGTTAAAAGAGAAGATTATATGACTAATCTAAGTGGGGGAGAAGAAGAAAAGAAGAATTCAGAAGAAAAGAAGAATTCAGAAGAAAAAAAATGAGGTTAAAGGAACCACGTGTCATTATTAAATAGAACACAATCGGGTAAGTATATATTTAAATATTATAGTGACACGTTGATGTGGTGCAAACCTTATATTATATTTATACACATGTCAAAAAAGGAAATAGAAGAAAATTAAAATTTAAGAAGTGATGTGAGGACTTAATAAAAAAGATGAGAACTTAAGAGAGTTAAATAGTTAATTTACTATTTAACTTGGTCAAACCTTACAAAGAAAGCTTTAACTTTTGTTTTTCCTATTTTTCTCTATATGGCCGGCCACACAAATGAGAGCTTGTTGGAATTAGGTGCAAACAAAGAAAGGAAAGAGTGGGAGAAGAAAAAAAAGGGAAAGAGAGAAGAAATTTTTCCATTTGTTGACTAAATAAAGAGCTTTGAATTTTATCTTGACTTTTCTTTCCATTTCATTCTACCTAGCCGGCCAACTGGTACAACTTTTGTCTTTTTTTTTTTCTTATCCTATGGAAACACTAGAACCTTCATCCTTCATTCTTTAATGCATTTTTTTCTTTCTTTACTTACCACTCGTAACTTTTCTCTTTGTACATTTTTTTCTTCCAACCGTGGCTTTTCTTGATAGATAACCGGGCATCAAGTCTTTCCTCCCATCTTCTCCCATGTTTCTTTCTTTTCTCTTTCCTCTTCATGAATTATCTTCCCTTTTTCCTCCCTCATAACAGAACCTAAGAAGGATTTGGTGGTTTGGCTTAAAATCCCAAGGTAAGGAAGTAAAAATTGTTAGTTTGGTTGAAAGCATGCTTTGTAAATTGATTGTAATGTGTGATTATGTTTATGGCAGCAAAGATAATCTTAGAGGTGAAGAGGTTGTGAATTATATTTGGGAAATTCAAACATAAATCAAGAGATAAGCATGCTAGGTGCTTATATTGTGTTGTATGAGTTTGGTTGGTTAAAGTATATGGATTGTGTAACAAATGTTGTGGGGGATGTTGATAAAAATTTATGAGATTTAGTTAAGGATTGTTGGTTGATATGCTGCCATTTATGAGTATAATTAAATGTATTAGGTTTGAATGGTTACTAGGGAAAATATAGTAAGTAATGTCGTCAAGGCGGCGTGCCGGAGGAAGTAACAAGAGATTGGCAAGTAGAATTAGCTAGATATGCACTCGAATTAATAGTGACATAGTGTTCCCTATTTTAAGGTGAGTAGGGAGTATCTATTTTAAAATTTCCTATGATTATGTATATATATATATATATATATATATAAATATGTATTGATTTATTTTAATACAAAAATTGTGGAAAGCATGAGTTGGTAGAAATGTTAGAAAATTGTGGATGTTATGACTTTGAAAATATGTAAGTTATATACATATATAACTATATGTAAGGTTTCTTGAAATTGGGAAACAAGTTTTCCTTTATGATTTATGTCAAGTATGTGCCTTATAGTTTGTGTGATATGCATTCGTGATTGAAACTTATGCTCACCATGCTAAATGATCTTTCAATCTCATATATCAAGTTATATTTTTAAGTCTTACACGGTATTTTATCATGTACTACGTGAACATTTTCATAATGAGTTTTGAAGCAAATTTTGAGAACCCAACTATACTTTAAAATGGTTTTATTAAACCAGAATATTCGAGAGTAAGCCGGTTGTCACTCCGATTAAGTGTGACCCTTGTGCACAAGTGAACTCTAGCTAGAGAACCCTTGAGTCACCGACAGGCTGTTAGACATGGCTGGGGTCAGAGTCTATGATTTTACGTGGCTAGGCCACAAGTTGTTATACTCGGTTGCGACCGCCTAATTTTCTCCAATGTCGATCAACATCGTTGAGACTACCATGGCATGTGGAGATCCGGTGGAGCGGAGCTCCTAGATGCTATTACGTGGAAGCGAGTCCAGGTGCCTTTATTTCTATACCTACTCGAGAGTGACATCTCTTTGGGTTTTTAACGTAAATAATTTTTGCATGGTGAATTATGAAATTTACGCATAAGCTTTGTAAGATGTTGGATTTTACGGGAGCATGCATGATGATATTTAATTACTTTAAACCCGATGTTAAGTTATTTCGATGGTAGGAATATTTCCATGACTTGAGTTGATATTTGATTTAAATGATTATTTAGCATAAATTACTTATTTTCATATAAGGCACAATCCTCTTTTTGAGTAAATTGTTTTTTATATATTCTTATATTTTTAATATTCAAATCTTCTACCTTTAGCTTGTTTTCCATTTATGCCTTATTCACGGAGTTGATGATCAATGAGTCTGTGAGACTCACCCCTCTTTATTTTCTTTTGCAAATAAGTAATTAGTGCTAGTGCTTTGTTCAGCATCTCGAGGCTGGCTACAACCTAGGTAATGGCATCTCTAGACTTCCACTCAGAGTCGCTTCGCTGCCTAAAAGTCGTTTGTGTCAAATAGTCAGGCTTGTAATAATTAATAGTTACTGAAAATGTACTCGTTAAAGCTTAAGGTTATGTAATGACTACTACATATTATGTTGAAATCGTATGAAATTATCAAACCTGGTTATTAGTTTCTAGATGCCACGTTTTAAATATTATGATTATTTGGTTTAAATGAACTATGTGTTAAAATTGTATTTTGAGTTTAAATTGCTTGGAGGTTTAAGTAAGGCTTGTTTGAGATTTGACGGGTTCGCTCGCAAGTCTCAAACGTCGGTAGCGATCGAGGGAAGGGGTCGTTACATGTTTGCCCTTCAACGTTTAAAAAAGTTGCTCACAATCCCTTTGAAACCTTACTCATCGTCACTTCTGCTTGCTTTACTCTGAACTATTGCTTCTTCATCGACCTAAAGTTCCTACTTCTTTTTCTAGCTAAGGTCCTTGCTTTTTCTTCTTCTAAATAAGAAGTTTGAAATTGTGTGTTGAAATCTCCCATTCTTCTTTTCTTTTATCTTTTTATCTTCTTCTTTGTATTCTTTAAATTGTTTTTTTTTGTTATAATTTAGGTTTTCTTCACATTTATCATTTTTATTCTATCAATGTAACGATTTCGTCTTTGATCAACAAGAGGCATTGGATTTTTGAGCTCACCTTCGTGGCTTCGAAGTAGTAATAAAATTGAGCTAGTTCAATGATGCTTTTTGTTGGGAAATATAGTACATCCAAGCACTGCATTAGGGGACAAATATTGATTTTATTAAAGTCTAGTTTTTAATCGATGAATAATAACCAAGAGCGGGTAGAACTTGTTGTGATGAGCCCTACAGCCAATTGAAATTGGTTAATGCTTGATTCTAATCATGTAACAATATCATTCATGTTAAATGATTTGAGGTTTTTCTCCATCAATAAAACATCAATTATAATGAGTTATAAGTCTAATTGGATGAAGTCCATAAGATTAATATGCCTTGTAAGGGAATTGTAATGGGTTGCAGTTATGAAATCTCTATGCATCAAAGCATAATCTCAAAATATTCCTGGTCAATGTATCATTGAGACTAGATATCAATGATATTTAGAGACTAGTATATTTTATGTTCTTTACTTTGGAAGTGAGCAATCGATCTCATAGATTGAAGTATAGAAATACTTGGAACCAAAATATAAGTGCTTCCCTAGGAGAGCAAGTTCACTGAACATAACCCACCATGAGAAGTTCATTTGATTATACACTCCAGTGTCTATATAGCACTTCTCATGTGTTAGTCTTGTAAATACTCTCTAGACTTGAAACACCAAGTTGTCTTATATGTGAAATGCTATAATTTAATTTTATCTCTACAAGTACCTAACCAAGGATGCTTGAATAAGGTGGTTTTAGGTATAGTATGAAGCATGTGGAGGCAAATGAGTGATTAAGATAGGAATCATCATCTCAAGTGTTTTACATGACATATCATATCAGTTATTAATTAACATTAGCTTATTAAAATCTTTGTCTAAGAAGACATAGAGATTATGAAAAGGTTTCATAAGTCTTTATAAAGCTAATGCTATAACTATAGGAACGAATATGGAGGTCAACAAGACTAGACATTGTATCAAGCTCTTATCATCTTTGGGATATATGATGAGAGAATGAATTACACTGATAAACTGTATATTGAAAGATTGTCAAAGAACCTCTTGACTCTCTTAACAATTGGATGACCATGATGCATTGTTACTTGCCCATCTTGGTCTATAGAATTAATTATAAATTACTTGATTGAAATTTATATTAATCAATTAAGTCATTAATCAAAATCCATCGCCAACATGTTCGGAACTTAATAGGTCACACACAATGATTACATTTGAATTAAATTGAGAGAGTGATGATTTGAGTTAACTTAAATCATATATTAGGTAATGAACTTCTATAAACTTAATTAAAAGAGTTAAATTAAATTTTATGCATAATTATAAATGGCTATAATTATAAGGCCTTGTTTGCCAAATATAAAGGAAATTAGGTTTGATTTTAATTTTCAAGGACTTAATTAAAAGAGTTTAATGAAGTAATGGGTCCAATATTAAAATGTGTTATAATATTGAAAGCTTAATTATAAAATTGAAGTTATTTTAACCTAACTATATAAGTCACCTTTTAACTATTTTTCATATGAGAGATTTTCACAACTGAAAAAACCTAATTTTGTTAGAAAGAGAAAAAAAAGCATTTTTTCTCTTTGCTGCTACTCTCTTTGTGTGAAAGAGAAAATTACTTATAAAGCAATTTTCAATAAAGGTTTGGCTAAGCTTGTGCAAAAGAAGCAAATGACAAGTGTTGTCCTCTTTACTAGCACAAAGTATAGTTAAAAAAACTCTCTCATTTGTTGAAGGTTCGTGTGCAATCGTGTGTACTACCGTTGGAGACCAAACACTTAATTGGTTAGGGTTTTTGCCCCTTGTGGTGTTTATGGGATTACTTCAGGAAAAGCCATTGTGATTACAAAATTACTTGGCAAGATAACTTTCTGAATAATAATTAATTTTGTGTTTTTAGGTGTTAAATATCACCAAAGTGATTCATAAGTGGAGGCATATTTTGATTGTCTAGTTCTAAAGTTTTAATTTTCTTTCTGCCATGTAATTTTGAGCATGTCATCCATACTCAAACTCATCATAACTCAGGTTCAAACTTGTTGACTTCTTGATTAGAGTAAACATTTTTTAACTTCCATAGTACCTTGGTGGAATTCAACGCCAGCATGCTACCTAATACTCAAGACACCTTGATTGTTTAAGTTTCCATCTATACTATGTGCTATTGCTCTCAGCATGGCTCTTTTCCCTTTGACCTTAATCCTTAAAGGTATTTATTACATTATTGATATCTTTATTTTTCCATGTGTTTTACGCTATTTTTTTTTACATTATTTACATTATTTATGATATGGTTTTGGATTAATTTGCACTAGGACCCTTTAACAAAACTGGTTGGTTTGTTACTCCTATTCCTATAAGGTCTAAAAATATTAAACATTAAGTTAGGCAGAGTAGAAATTGAAAGTTAATTTGGTTTTTATTATATAGATTTTGAGGAATATCTCTTTGTTATTTTCAGTAGCCATTATCTGATGGATGGTTACTGTTAATAAAATTTATATTATCTTTTAAAAGAAAAAGAAATTAATATAAAATATATAATATAGAAAATTATATTAAAAAATAAAAATAAACTATATGACATTAAATATATATTTAAGATATGATATTATATAAAAATTAACAAAAAAATAATTATATTAAATTTTTATTTTAATACATAGAGATAATTTTGAAAATTGACATTCATTCTTAGTCAAGTACTTGTAACCAAACCCCATAATATTATTTTTTCTGCATTTTAATTGTCACTTTACTTATATTCTAAATATTATAATGTTATCTTCATTGTAATCAAATTACATTTTAAGGTACCAAATACCACCAAATTATTTTGCTGCTTTCTTTTCATTTGGATTTATTCCAAAAAAAAAGGCAAATTGTAGCCGCATGGTCCACACCAAACTTTTCTTCTTTTCGTCTTCTTTTGTTCTCCAACCCCGATTCTAGTTTTTCAATGATTTCACTGATTATTCAACTAATTTCACTGTTTCTTTTCTTCTTCTTCTTCTTTCTATCCGATTATTTCACTAATATTCCCAACAAAACCCAAAAACTCTTAACCCTAAAAGCCTACTCTTCCAATCTGGTGGTGCAATGGTTGATTTTAGATTTTATTAAAATTTAAAGATTAGATGTTAATGATGGATTTTATTATAATGATAATCAATTTTATGGATGTTATTCATGTTGAATTTTATTGTATTTGATGTTATTATTATTTTTTATAATTGTTTTTATGATTATTGATATTAAATTTGAATAACAAAATTATATGTAATTGTAGATATTTTAATTTAATCATGTATTAATCGTATTAAATGTGTTAAGTATTTTAGAAAAAAATTGGGTTAATCATTTAATCATTTTTAACAATTGTGTTTTGTCGTATAAAATATAAACTGACATGTTTAATAAATGTGTTAATTGAGTTGTGCATATTACACGATTATTAAACATATTTGTGCACATGTTGAAGATTCTGACATGAATAATTATTTATATCATGATTGTATTTACCCATATAATTATTAAGACCTTATATTAACATGACATGATTAAGATACGAAAACATGAATTGCCAAATGTACTCCCAATGCCAAAATTGTTTGAGCCAATCTACCTAAGGTGCACTTCAATTAGATTGTTTATACTAGATTTATGTTTTGAAAGGTGAAGGTCACCAATGCAACACTTTTCTATTTTCTGTCCAAATATAATTGGCATGGCTGCCAGAATTAGTGCGGTAGAAAGGAAATAAACATTCTTTTCTGCACATCCAATGGGACTAGATTGAAAATACCACATAAAGAAAAAGGAATCATAGGAAATAATCACAAATACTTGAGACGGAAGCATAAGCTACTCATGTTTTTGACAATTCTCTATTCCAGAGACATATCTCTAGCGGCTTGACCAAGTCTTATAGTCATGATACTTATGGACTGATAGAAAAGATTGAAGAAATTGCTCAATCTTTTCGAGAAAGCTTGAGAATTGTGGCGTAAAGTCTTAACAAAAGCATTGGTGTTCTTAAAAACGAGATGGTTACCACGAAGAAAGTTTTTGGAGAATCCATTGTCATTTTGTCTAACAACCATGTCAAGAGGCAAGAGCAACCTCAAGTAGAGGGAGAGGAGGCAAAAGTCAAAAAACAACAAGCAATTTATGACCTAAAATCGACTAGATTACTATCAGCCTCCTTGAGTTAGAGAAGCACAAAATCAATGCCATGCACCACTCATGGATAGGCTTTCCCTTAAGTAGAAATTTTTTGTTAATTTTTAACATCAATGCGTTATTTGATATAATGTAAGTTCTACAACAAGCATTATATTGCATTCTATTTTGGTACAAGGTTCCACAAGAAAAACTTCAAAATTATCATTCATTTC